GCGACGCGGCTGCGAGTGTCACGAGCGCGGCGATCAGCTGTTTCCAGCCTATTTTAGCCATTTTCTCCCTAATTTACACTGTTATGGCTGCTTTTCTCGAGATTAGTTGTTCCTTGTCTTCACAAGGTAAATTATGATTGAGATTCCTCTGTTTTTGCGCACAATTACAGTTAGGCAGACAATTGAACAAACACCTGAAAAAAAATCGCAAAAACACTCTATTACAGAAACAAAAAAAGACTCCACGCCCTAATGTACTTCATAAAGACAATAAAACAACTAACCTAAAAAATAGAAAATACAGTGAAAATTAGGGAGAAAATGGCCAAATTAGGCTGGAAACAGCTGATCGCCGCGGTCGTGACGCGCTGCAGCCGCGTCGCGACCCTTGCCGCCCTAATCAAGTGCCCGGATGACGACTGTAAACACGCGACGCAAAGGTGGTGTACACACAATGCCATCATTGCATCTTTTTGTAGGAGGTATTGGCGAAAGGCTTGCGACTAACAACTAGTTGCCATTCGAGTGCGGTGGCGTGAGCCTTAGCCAACGCTCACCTAGCCGCCGCGGTATGGCCGTCATATCATTCTGGCACGCTCTGCAGGCGAGAACCCTTCCCGAGAGCACGTTACGCAGTTTAGGAGACTGAGTGGCTGAGGGGTGAGACTGGTTGTAAGCTATGCTTTAGAATAGAAAAAAATTAATATCCACTTCAACTGTTACAGTCGGTCTGCAATCGATTCGGTTTGGTTCTGGCAGCAAAAACTCGTCACGCTACACTCATCCTTTTTATTGTTTTTGCTCCTCTAGCATGGCCATTGAGCAAGCTGATTGACTACTTCTTGGGCAGAGAAGTAAGTAATGCTCACTAAAAACAAGAGCTACAGCAGAAATCATTCCTGCTGTTTAGGTCAGAGAAATCTACTCGGAAGAAAAGCTTAAAACACTTATCAAAGTACAGGCGAAGAAAATGGAGGAGGCTGCTCAAGGTAGCCCATACGTTTCTTGTGTACATTAAGCAGCAACGTACTAATGTTGGCACCATGCACATGCGGATATCAAGAGTGTAGGGCGTGACTTGTTCATTTGAACTTCGCGCAGGATACTTTGTGGGATGCTTCCGTTCGGACAACAGTCATTCTTACCCGTGCTGAGCAGGCATGCGTACAATCAAAACAAGACGACGATATACTCCAGGTAAAAAACAGTAGTCCGCCGCGCTGTTTTCCGAATGATGTTCCTAGCCAACGAAGTATGTTGCGTGCGTAGACGAAACTCTTCACTTGTTGGTGGATATGACTTCTCCTATATTCACCGTGCACCTACCTTTCCTCATTCCGCAAGGGAAATAGCAAGTGACGGAACTACCACATCAGGAAGTCTTTCTAAGTGAGCAAGGAATGTGATATGGTGCACAGGGGCCAAGGGGCCAAGGCCCTTGTCCTAAATGGGTACCATCGTTACTGCGTACTTTTGAACCACGAAAGTAGTACCTCTCATGTGCTTGCATACAGACTATTTTGTCCAAACGGGATCGGCAGAACAAATGCAAACGGACGTGCCTTCGAGAGAGAGAGAGAGAGAGAGAGAGAGAGAGAGAGAGAGAGAGACGAGAGAGAGAAGAGAGAGAGAGGAAGAATGTTCAGCTCGAACACAGCACTAGCATGCCCTCTAAAACAACAGAAAAGTCATTATGATTGATTGCGTATGGTGTTTCTTCAGATATTCTCGCTAGGATAGCAGATTTCCCAAAGAAAACAGTAGAGGACATGATGACGCCGATGGAGGACACCTTTGTTATTAGCAGTAGTGATAGGTTGGATGTAAAGGTACAATCTGTTATGGAGATGCACATTATGTCAGGGTACACTACGTCAGTGATTTGGGCACTTTTGCAGTTACTAGTAACAATCCTTGAAAAAGGATATACAAGAATACCTGTTTTTGAAGAGAAGAATCGCCTTAACCTGACCGCTGTTCTGAATGTGAAGGTGAATTGGCGGTGGTCGCTTGTTACGCTTTGTAAAGCATGCCTAGAGACAACTACTGAGAATGTTGCGATAAACAAGCCACACAGCACGATCAAATTATTAATTATGTGCAAAATTCCAACTTAATTCTCGTCTGTACATACATAACCTCGTCATCCGGGCAGTTGATTAGGGCGGTCGTCAACGGGCCGCAGCGCGTGCCAGGAACTATTTGCTTTTCCAGGCTAATTTAGTCATTTTTTCCACCTTGTGAAGATAAGGAGCTGCTAATCTGGGAAAAAGTAGCCAAAACAGTGAAAAGTTGGAAAAATGACTAAATTAGCCTGGAAAAAGCAAATAGTTCCTGGCACGCGCTGCGGCCCGTTGACGACCGCCCTAATCAACTGTTCGATGACGAGGGGTATGTATGTCATTACCTGGGCGACGAAATGTGGCGTCCATGCTGTGAATCACACGATCAATGCAGGGATTGGTCAGGGCTCAGGCCCTCAATATTGTAAGGGCCCACGTGAATCAAGCCAAGCTCTTGATGATAGATGACTATCAGCTTGCGAGAGCGCTTGTACTTCAAATTAGAGGTTTTCCTCGAGTGATTCGATGGCACCCACCAGCTCACCAGACTACTGCTAATTTCCAATTCTCCAAATACTTGACCGGTTGGGGGACGGGGGAAGAGAGAAGGGGGTATATTTGCGCGTGAGTGCAAAAAATTCATCAATGAGAGGAATTGTCCAAGCGGCTTTAGGAGAATTGTTCTGAAACATTTTTTTTCCGAGCCAAATGCGACCCGCTCTCTCCGTCTTCCCCCTCTCAATCATAGAACGTCGCACGTGGGGAATCTCCAGCGAATGGGGGAAAAAGCTGGAATATTGTCGGGAATTACGGAAAGAAGGCGTTAGGTAAGTTGCAAAATCAAAGAAGTTAAGGAAAATGGTAAGTAGGAACGAAAAAGAAGGTGCATTTTCCATAGTTCTCCTCCACCAGCAGAGCCTGCCCTGTCCCCAATAGGATTCGCCACATGAAGCAGGATCCTGCACAGAAAGTGAGGGAAGTAATCGTTTAGGATCTCGCAACGATGACGATTGACCATCGGTCGACTGTTCAACAATTTATGAGCAAGATTGACGACTCTAGAAAACAGGTACTTGCCTAAAATGCATCTAATCGCAGATATCGTTCGATAGGACGTATGATCTCAGCCTTATCCGCAGTTTTGTGAAAATAACTTTTTTCAGATGCGATTCGTGTTGGCTTCACAGAGAGGGGAGGCTCTGATGCAGGAAATGATGAAAGGTTATTACTCATACGCTGTTTTAGATTGCTACTAAACTTTCGCTTCAGGAGACCAACATCTTTGTGCGGTGATGAAGTTTTCCTACGGAAGGTACCGTGTTGTAGGCCTCATAACACTCGAGGATGTTATCGAGGAAGTCTTCGGCGATATCGAGGTCTGAACTTATTGCTTTTTATTCAATGTAAGTAAAGCAGCACGGTCCCGAGCATCAAAGAATAATCAAATCTGAAGAGTGCAGGAACGTGGGAAAAAGTTATTCTTCAGGATGATTCCGACAAGATGTGGAACAACCGTCGAGCTGGCGTTCACAAGGATCAGCAGACTCTGGACTGGTTTCGTACATCCGAAGCAGAACAGTTCGCTGGCCTCGGAGTAAACGCAACGCTGAGACTAATCCAGGTATTCCATGAGGCTGAATTTGCCTGTTTATACCAAGAGGTGAACACTTCCCCTCATCAGGGAATCTGTAAGATGAACTGTGCGCTCATCACCAAGGACGGTCGTTTCTATTTGCTAGGTGAATGGATCCGCAGCAGCAAAAGCGGCATTTTCCTTGCTCAAACATGCACGGGAACTGGACTGGAGTGTACTCGGTACTCGGTAGAGGCTCCACTCTTCCGCTCGCGCTGCTCTTAAGGCGGGGCGCAGATACCATGGTCCCATGGTAGTGGAGCACATACTCAGCGGAGAGAACAATCAGGAGTGAGAGAACGCAGACAAGTAGAGCGCTCCGGTTGGGCGCGTTGCCGCGCGGTAGCGCGAGGAGTATGGTATGGGCACCGGAGAACCACTAGCCTGCAGCCTCGTTCGTGTGCAGTTTTGAGCGGAGAAACTGGCACGGCTGCGAAGCAATTCATCTCCACATGGCGAAGATCAGGATCCACGGAAGTTAGTGTACAGTTTGTCTTGAGGACAAGCTGTACGCTCATCTGCAAAATGGATCTTTCCCAGGTCCACAGCTGTAGAAGCGTACCACTTTCGTCGTCGTGGGAAAGAAGCTGCTAGGTGGACATAGCTGAATGGTCGTTTATTACTCCCGCGCGCATCACGATACAGGCAGCACATCTGTTTACCAGCCATACTTCTAACCGGGAAGAATTCACTGCTTGCATGCACACGCACACTAGGCTAGGGCGCCATTGTTTTCTACAGCTCTTTGGCTGCTTTCTCTGGCAAACGGGCCAACTGCGGGATCTTGGTTCACTCAGATGTCTCTGTTGGTATGCTGCCAACATGTCCAGCCAAAAAGCCTGGCCTGACTAGACGTGCCGTCAGCTTCATGTTGCATGCGATGTGCGAGCAGACTAATAACAGTACAACTAGATACTGCTATCCTCCAGCATCATTCACGCATTTCCGCGTGGCGAAGCTGGCACGCCTATGCAGCTTGAGTCCCAGATGGGTCGCTAATGAGTCGCATATTGGCTTGACAGGGACACTTCCGGGCTTTTTTTTGGTTAAATCTTGGTTTCATGGGTGCTATACATTCCCCTGTGTAACGGCGTCGACTTTCTCTTGGCAAAGGTAAGAAAACAGGGAAATTAAGGAAGATGGTAGGTAAAGCGAAGGAGGGGGGGCAGGTGTTCCGGAAGAAGAAATGTTGGGAGAGGGTCCGACACCGCCATTGTTATCAACTCAGGGACTAAACAATCAAGCTATAATCATTCTCATGTTCCTGAAAGCAAGTGACGCGATAAAACGACAAGGCGTTCATGGTCGAAACGATGCCGACCCAAACGCCCACTTATAGATGGCCACACACTTACATCGAGCTGCTACCATTGCGTTTTCACTTATGGTACAAATGATATGAAGCATTGCTGCATGAATATATGAATACATACGTGCAGCCATATCTATCATACCAGTTGCTGGCACCATGCCAACGGGAAACTCATCCAAAAATAGTACTCGTCCGATGCCGTGCAAAACAACGGTTTTTCACAGGTCTTCGGCCGTATAACTTCGCTTTTCCTTCACTTTCTCACGATATAGCACCCTTGCTGCTATTTCTTAGAACCAAGTTATCGTGCCCCGTTCCCTTTGCCTCTGAAGACAGTTCCCGCGATCAAGTGGTCTGCAAATGCCTCTATGCCTTTGGCAACGTTGTCCCAGTCGCAGAGAATATACAACTATCGTCTTTTGAAACGGCAAGATAAAGGAGCTAGAGACGCGTGATTATTGTAACCATTGCAACTATGATTACTTTTACTCCACAGAACACTGGCTTACAGACGGAATAGCGTGTGTACATAGCGTTGCTTGGAGCGTCGTAGGCTCGTTTTCTGTGCTCTGCATTGGTTGCACGTCGATCCTGCTGAATGAGCTTGACGGCGTCCGACATACTCGTCCAGGGCGCCGGCCCACTGCCAAGGGGATCTCTGTCCAGAGTGTTCCCAAGGTTTTTCCCTTCCTTCTATACTGAGGAATTACTTATGGGCTACTGGTTCATGACTGAGCACCTACTACTCGTAGCACTTGGTCGCTCTTCAATGAGGAACGCAAGCGCATTGACTGCAACTTTATGCTTTTACTTTTGGAGTCTTGCAGCATCAGGGCTATAACTGTCCGCTCTTGTTCTTTCAAGATGCCCTTCGAATTCAGAGCATCTTCGATTGCTGTCCTCTGCTAAGGACGCTCGGCTACGATGTTCTTCGTATGAAAGGGCTGCTAAGTGCTGATAAGCTCAGGCACGCTGAAGAGGACGAAATAATAATACCGAGAAGCGATAGAAAGTGGGTATTAACCAGTCTTCTCTTTTCAGGAGCTATGAGTGACACAACTAATGGGACTGTTTCAGAGTGCTGATTTTCTTCAGCGGTACAATAACAGTTGAGAATGAGAAAACGACAACCTATAGATTGGAAGCGAACCGAGCGGATTTCAGGCCGTACATTAGCGGGAGGTCGCTTGTGAAAAGGATTTTCAAGGTAATTTTCCATGGTTTCTCACTAAGCCGCTGCCAAAATGATAGAATAACTTTTTGGCGCATGATTAGGCTTTCTTACATTCCATTAAAATTAGATAAGATAAACGCGATCTTCCACTGCTGCATTAACTCACAATGGGAAGGCTCAGCTGACTCGGTCTCTCAGCATGCATTCGATGGCCATGAAAGATCATGCGCAGATGCGTTGTCAGCTTAATGACGAAGGGTACATTCAGCTCCTTCCATCCTGGTCCTTTCCACTTGTGAGATAAATGGATCCATAGCTGCTGTAGTGTGGCTTTTTCTTCGCTCAAAAGTGTACGGGGACGGAGCTGAAGCGTATTAATACCCGAGTGCCGCTTTAGGCTCCACCCGCGCCACCGCACTGCCAGCCACAAGGATAACCATGGCTACGCTCATTATTCTCTGCGCCCTCTCACACCGGCTTATTCTTCACTGCTGAGTACAGGGGGCCAAAAAAAGACACTTCGGCCGAGTCACATATCAGCAAAGTTTTCGCAGCCCAGACAGAGGACGTGGATACGAGTACCAGGGCGGAAGATACCCAAGATGTTCCTCGATAAGCAGGAGCTCTCGTCCATCACCTTCATGTACACCAAAATATGAAGCCATCTCCAATCGCAGCCTGACTGGAGAAGGCCTATGGGGTGGTAGCTGTCCATGGAATCACCC